GAGAGAGAGAGAGAGAGACACACAAAGAGGATGCGTACAGGGGGCTCACAGGGCCACCGCGACCAGCCCGGCCACGCCGAGCACGCCGACGAGGTCTGCCATGATAGTGGCGGCGGCACCGGATGCGGAGGTGGCCTCGGCGCCGCCCTCACCGGCACCGTCGTCGCCGCCCCCGGTGGCTGTGGCCGTAGGGGCGGTCGACTCGGCGGGCGGGGCGTCGGCGCCGCCGCCACCGGTGGCAGCCGGCGGGGGAGGAGGAGGAGGAGGAGGAGGAGCGGCGGTGGCGGCGGCGGCCTTGAGACTGGAGACCTCGGACACGAGGGCGCGCTGGTAGAAGGCGTCGGCGCCGGCGAAGGCGGCCGGGAGCCAGGCCGGCGGGGTCTCGGCGGCCAGGGCCGAGACGAGGACGGCGTCGGGCGCGGCGGTGGCGCCCGGCACGAGGGCGGGGATGGCGGCGGTGGCGCGGCCGTAGACATCCCTGGGCACGTACGTCGCCACCAGGTCCTGGATGGCCAGCTCGAGGTCGCTGGGGCCCGAGTCGCTGCTGCGGGGGAACCGGGGTGGGAGGCAGGACGATGTTAGCCGCGGATGGGGGTGTATGGGGGATGGGGGAGGGGGTGTGCTTGCCGATCCCGCAGCGCCCCTGAGCCGAGGGCCTGCCCTGCAGCGAGCAGGAGGGTTGCCAGGGTGCTTGTTGACGGATACATGGTTTTCTGTTCTGGGGATTTCCTGTCCGGGATCTTTCAGGCTCGGGAATAGGGAGGGTCTATATCAGACGAGGGCAAGATTCGAGTGGGTTGGCGAGATATCCCAGCTTGAAGTTGGGACTGAACGAATGAGAAGTAACGGCGAGAAGTCGGATCCTACCACATCCAAGGAACGGGGCGGAACAGGCCCGGTATATGTACTCGTTCTCCAGGTGCCGTGCCAGCGCACATTCTTGTCGTTGGCTTCCCTCCGAGAGAGATGTCATTCACACTGGGCCGGGAAACATCAATAGGGCGGACAAGGTGACACGATGCCTCACCCGCGGCAACGGTACGCGGCATGACAACGCTCATCTCTCGGAGTCAGGGAAGCGGGACGGAAGGAGCCTGGCAAAACCAGAGTGCCGCACTTCGGTCCCTGAAACAAGTCCTGTGGACGGTGTCGCCTTGCGGTCTTGGAAGACGTCGGTTAGCCTTGGGAGGGGGCCACGAAGCCACGCAAGGGCAGGATGCGTGTCATGCCACCCCTCCTGCCTGGGCTGCTCATTTCTGGGCCCGGCAGCCAAACATGTTTTCCCTCGTTCTGATCTGGCGAGAGAATACAGCGGTCTGCTGAGGTTCAGCTTGCGGAACACTCTGTGCTGCTCCGCGTGCGACCCGGGGAGATGGTGCGGCACCCCATCAGGAGGGGTGAACTCTGAGGCCATCATCTCTTCCTTCGACTAGTCTCTTAACTGAGAGCCCAAGAGAACAGAGCGCATGTGATTATCTTGTTGGATAAGACCGCCTTTTTTATTCAATTCTCTCATATCTTACAAACAATATACCATTCCATAGCTGAGGCAGCACAGGACCGCAGCTAGACACAGCGAAAACTGCCGCTTTAGTGTAATGGGAATATCGGTCTTGCTACGCAATCTTTTGGCGAGGTGTGCGTGACGCAAAGCGTAGAACGGATGGTACAGGCAACGAACGACATGTGGCGTGTCCAAAACCTACGTCCGAAGGCCGGGCGATCTTTTGACGCCATCGCCTTTGGCGACCAGCGGATTGAGGGGGTCGATCGAATGGACCAATAGAACTAGAACGCCTCCCACACCACGTGACTATGTGCGGGCTTTGGGTCAGCTTGGTGAATATCGCAGCCTGAGGCAAGCAATGGGTGGTGCAGCACAGTCCGACACAGTGCCCCGCCGACGCCCCAGACTTGGGCGCCCCGCATGCGTCGACGTCTGATCAGGCTTCCAGCCCGGCAGGGCGAAGTCGAGGGTGGCGCCAGCAGCCCGACGGTCCATGGATGGCTCCTGGCTGCACAAGCGCTGACAGGGCAGCATCCACTGTATCCACCCCATCCACCCTTGGTTGGGCGGCGGCCATGTGGGTTTTTTTTGACTGGGCTCCTCGTCATCCGCCCCTCCTGTGAGTTGCATGGCCTCTGCATTGGACCGCTCACTCGCAAACCGGTTGGTCGATGATGCCTCACCCAGACATAAGCTGCCGCTGCCGCTGCCCAGCCAGCCTTTCCAATTTGCTCCCTTGACCTTGACTCTCGCGGGCGTATTTCTGTGCACCTCGCCTCCCGTCCGCCCTTTTCTTTTCCTCTTCTTCCTTGCTCTTCTTTTCATCTGCGACAGGCCACAGGATCATTTCCCCGTTGCGCCCAACGCAACCCGAACAAGCAGCCAACGACCCCTCACTGACTTTCATTGCGTCCTGCATCTCCACCAGAGGCCCCATACTGACGTCGGCTTTGCGCTCTCTCACTGGGTACGTAATTACGAGTTGTCTGTGTGTTTTTTTCTGTCTTTTCTTTTTTCCCCTTGCTGTCCTTGCTGCTGCCCAAGAAACAGCCTGCCGCCTTTCTGTGTGTGAGGGTTTGTGTGTTGTGCCACGTGGGGTTGGTGGCAAGGGGGAGGCCGCGCAACCGGCCCCGAACAAGCAGCACTGCAGCATCCGCCGTCTCCTGATTGCTGGTGCCTCAGTTCCAAGGCCTGCAGGTCGCCGTCAGCTGCAGTTCGGTTTTCAAGGTCTCGCTCAAATCGGGTGGTGGGACTGGGGTGGTGATCTGCCTGCCTGCCTAGCTGCAGGCCACCAGTGTCCATGCCCGCCAGCACACAGCCCCTCTTTCCCCTCCACCTTAAAGGAGGCTGTGGCGGCACCACTTGACCGTCTCTCGCCCGCTCGTTCTCTCGCCTGCTGCCACATATAGCTGTATATGTATCTGCCTGCTCGTCTGCCTGCGACCTATCCAACTAACAACAGCGCCTGACGACAGTCGAGAAAGCCTTGCCATTTTCTTGCCGTTGCCCGCAGGCCTGGATTGACAACCCCCGCCTGGGCCCGTCGTTGTCGCACGCCTGGAAACACACAAACGCGCACACGTACAAACACTTGATTGCCTCTCCCTCCACCGCCCGTGTTCCGGCCCTTTCCTATGTCTGGGTACGACCACGAACCGCGGCGGACTACCCGCCGCGAGTATCGAGAGGAGCGCTATGAGGAGAGGGACCCTCGCTACTTCGAGGCTAGCGACGGCCACCTGAGGCCCCACCCATCCCGCGAGCTGGTTCCACGCTCGCGGGAGGACAGCGACCTCTCGGTCGAGGAGATTCGCCGCGATTTCCCGCCCCCGACTGGCGCCTACCGCGACCGGAGGGCCCGCTCCGCCGAACCTGGCTATGATGATTACGACGACCGCCGCTCCTACTACTCGCGGGACCCTCGGGATCGCGACCGCGATCGCGGCCACGGCCGTGGCGCCTACGACCGTGACCGCGACTATGACCGCGATCGTGACTACGCCCGCGGTGGCTCTGACCGTGACCGCGACTACGACCGCGACTACGATCGCCGCTCCAGGAAGGACGAGAGCTTTTACTACGAGGAGGAGGAGAAGGAGAAGCGCCGCCGTACCATTTCCAAGCAGGAGAAGATCATCGCTGCCATCAGCGGCTTCGCCCTTGCCGTCGGCGGCAAGGAGCTCTACGACCGCCACGAGGCCAAGCAAGAGGGCGAGGAAGCAGAGATCCAGCGCAACCCCTTGGCGTCTGCCGCACTTGGCGCCGCCGGCGCCCTGGCCGCCTACCAAGGAGCCGAGCTCTACAACAAGCACGCCGAAAAGGAGGAGAAGAAGTCCAGCCTTGTCATTCAAAAGGGCCGCGATGGCCAGCTCGTGAGGTATGAGGGGGAGGAGAACCCCAATGAAAAGAAGGGCTCCAAAAACTTCCTCGAGAGCGCTCTCGCAGCCGCCGGCCTGGGCGGCGCTGTCAAGGCTCTGACCGGCAAAGGTGACGATGATAAGGACAAGGACAAGGACAAAGACCGGGACGGAAAGTCCGACACCCGCAGCCGCCGCGGCAGCCAGGATAGATCCCGCTCCAAATCCCCCGAGAAGAAGAACAAGATCCAGCAGGCTGCCATGGCCTCCCTCATCGCCGGCGCCACCGAGGCCTTCCGCGTGGCCAAGGAGCCCGGCGGCTGGAAGGGCGAAAAAACAAAGCGCATCTTCACTGCTGCTGCTGGTGCCGCCACCATCGATGCGGCCCAGAACCCGGAGAAGAACCAGAAGCTCAGTCTGGCAGAGTCCGTCATCGGTGGCCTGGTTGGAAACCGCGTCATCCACGGTTCCAAGAAGAATATCGAGGAGGACAAAGCCACGGGCCGCTCGCGCTCGCGCTCGAGGCATGCCCGCGACTCTAGCGCCAAAGGCGACGGTGGCGGTAGCAGCGGCGTGACCGGGCTGGCTGCCCTGGCAACTGCAGGCCTTGGCGCCATTGGGGCCAAGAAGCTGATCGAGAGCCGCAAGGACAAGGACGACGAGGACGACGGGGGCCGCTCACGATCCCGCGCACGCAGCCGCAGCCGGTCGGCGTCGCGCTCCCCTGAGCGCAAGCGCAGCCGCAGCCGCAGCGTCGTCGATGGGGCTCGCCGTCGCCTTGCTCGGCTGGGCATTGGCAACGGCCCCGCCGATGACGACAAGGAGAAGGATGAGAAGGACAAGCGCAGCGAGGTCGGCTCACCGAGGGACTCGTCGCGCAACAGGCGCCGTCGCTACTCGGACGAATACGACGACTATTATGACCGCAACCGTAGTCGGTCCCGTTCCCGTGTCGGTGACAGGCGGCGGCGTGACGACTCGGATACCGATCTCGGCGACTCGGACAACGATCGTAGAGAGACGACACGAAAGAGAGGTAAGCGAGCACTCACCATTGGCCTGGCCGGCGTGGCGACCATCCACGCTGCCCATAATGTGTATTCGAGCATGGAGAAGCGAAATGCGCGCCAGAAGGCGGTCAAGGAAGGGCGGCTGTCGGAAGAGGAGGCCAAAAAGCTCAAGACCAAGGCGATGCTGCAGGACGTGGCCGCAGTGGGGATCGCAGCCTTGAGCATTAAGGGCGCCATATCCGAAGTCAAGGAGGCGCGTGAGAAGGGCAAGGAGCTACACGAGTGGAAGCTCGAAAAGGAGGCCCGCAGAGAGCGTCGGCTCGCGCGCCAGCGCGCCATCCTCGACCGTGAAGCGGCCAAGGACCAACGGCGGCGCGAGCTTGAAGACGGCGGCTACAGAACCGCGACGGGGGCTGGCGAATGGACGCTATCAGCCACCCCGCGCGGCGGGCGAGAAGGCCAGTACGACTATGACGACGGGCCCCGTTACACCGACGGGAACCCGTACGCCAGCGCGGCTGTCGTGCCCAAGTCCCCTGTCGTTCACTACGACAGGAGATAAGAGGATATGAGATATGCACACCGTCGCAATATGGGGTGTCTCTAGTCAGCTACCACTTTGCCCTTGCCAATCCTTCGTTCCAACTCCATTTCATTTTATGACGGCGCGACATTACACAAACAAGAAACGACACGGCACGATATACAACGACACATCACGATACACTAGAGCAATTCCGGGCTGGCACTTGCATCACGTTCTAGCAAGCGAAGCCAGCCCGCAAACCACCCGTCATAAAAGAAGAGCCTCTTCTCTGCACAGTCCTTATTCCTAGGTGCTAGCCACACCAAACGCCAAAGGAAGCCATCCATGTTTAGGCAGGATAGACAAAGCGCAAGAAAGGGGGTGGGAAATACAGACAGGCGAGCAAGGCGGACATACACGGGGGGTGGGCTCAGGGTTCTTCAAGCAAACAATCTCGGGGTTTTCCTTGCGATGGCCGGAGAGGGTGTGGGACAGTCAGTACGCAGCGCGTGACCCGGCGGCCTCTCACACGACGGCAATGGCTCTGACAGGCCTCTGGTGCTTCTGAGTGGCTGCAGCTCCCACCGCCAGTCTGCCGCTTCTTCCGGCCCTGCCTGCCGCTACTGCTCCCATCGCTCCCCGCCTGCTTCTCAATGGCTCGTGGAGATAGACTTGCTTTTACTTTTGGCTTATACTGTCCTATACCCTTGCATTTTTTGCTTACAGGCCTGCCTTTCACCAATCTCCTCTCGTTACGGATAGCTACTAATACCACGTCTCCTTACCAACAGATGGTCGCGACCGTGAACGCGACCGGGACCGGGACCGGGACCGCGATCGCTATTAAATAAGCGTGCGCCCTGCAGGCCCTACCCTCATCTAGTGCGCCATCTCGGGCGCCCAGATCCAAATCCAGAAAGACAAAATGCACCGACGCATTAGCCCGAGGATGGACGAGGGATGGCCAGCGTCCCATGGCCTGAGTGGCCTGGGCTCGGGAGCGGACAGCAGTGGCAACCCGCCTCCCGGCGTTTTCCCTTTTGCCGTTTTTTCTGCCTTCCGTCACCCTTGACTTCTCGCTTCTTGTCTCCCCTGAGGTGGCACTGCCCTCGGCGATTTCGGCAGTTGTATTCGCTCTAGCACGAAGATCGACGATCGCCTGATCTCAAATCTGTACGATACACTGCACGACGGCGGATGGTGTTTTTTTGGGGGGTTTTTTTTTTTTGGCTTACATGCACCCTGCTCCTTACCCTTTGGATTTTCGCTCCTTTCCCCCACCCATTCATGGTATTACCGCCCAACTGTTCATGCCCATGGTGCTTCTGCTATTTTCCCCCCTGCTTATTTCTCACGTCCACGCCGCTCACGAGGCCTGGACGACGACACCGGTTATGATGATGCTCACAAGAGGCGGAGGGGTTAGAAGAGGTCATATATGTTGTTTAGCTACTTGAGACAAAAAGACTTGCAAACATGGGAATTGCCTGCTGTGATTTGACGCGTGTCCTTTTGTGCTTTTTTTTTCTTTGCTGCCTGGCTAGTAGCTAGTTCGGGTCGGGAAGGGCGGTCCTGTCGCCAGTGCCAAATGTCATCGGGACGGCGCAGAAGCCTCGGATGCGCTGGGCTCGACCGCAAGAAGGCGCCCGCTTGGGTACGCACGGCATGGGGCGTGGAAATGGGTGGGTGGCGGTCTGCCCACCCCCCACCCCAGCTCGCTCGCTCGCTCGCTCGCCTTGTTTCTTCGCCTCGCCTTGCCACGGCACCAAAAAGCTGACGGGACAGGGCAACAGAAAACCAGGGCTGGCTAGGCCCCCCACAAACAAGCGTCGATCGTCACCAAGGCCTGGACTCTCTCTCGGGCGGGCTGTAAGAAACCAAACAGGTTGGCGACAATGGGAGGTAAGTAGGCAGCAGTAGCAGCAGCGAGGGACGGCCTGTCTCCCATGGAGTGTCGTGTGAATAGGTATATGGAAAGGGAGGTATGTGGTGGATACATGGTACAACACATGAGGCTAATAAACGTGTCTTTTTTTCTCTTTTTTTTCTTTTTCCGAAGCCGACGCTACTCCTCCCCACTGCCGCTGTCGCTGCCGCTGTCGTTGCCGCTCGGCTCGGGCGCCGGTGCCGCCGGTGCCGGCGCCGGCGCCTCTGCCTCTGCCTTTTTGAACATCCTGGCCTTGCTCAAAAAGTCGAGCTTCTTCTGCTTGTCCTCGTAGTCGGCCGGGAAGACGTAGTCGAAGAACTCCTCCTCGGTGCCGTCCTCGAGCTTGCGCTTCTTCCTCGTCTTGCGCGGCATCTGCCCTTGCATCCTGTCGACGTCGGCGGCCGACCCGTGCGTCCGCTCAAACGACAGCCAGGCCGTCAGGATGGCGACGCGCTCGGCCTTCATGTCCTTGTCCTTGAAGCCCTTGTGCGCCCGCTCAAAGACGCGGCGCGCGCGCGCCTTGGCCTCGTCGCTGACGGGCCGGTCGTCGTCCTCCTCCTCCACTCCCTGCTCGGCCTCATTTTGCTCCTCTCCAGAGGGGTCGGGCACGTTGATCTCGAACTGCGCATAGCTGATCCAGACCTTGGGGTGGTCCGTCTTGTCCAGCAGGCGCTCGTACAGGGTGCGCGTCTTGTCGTACTCGCCCTCCTCCTCCTCAAAGTCGATGTACGACTTCCACACGATCTCGGGCATGTCGAGCACGGGCTGGGCGATGCCCATGTCGAGGATGGCCCGGGCCCGGTCCAGGTCGTCGAGGCCGCGCTCGAGCTCGGACCACTTGACCCAGGTGCTGCAGTTGGCCGGGTTGAAGGCGATGTGCTTCTCATACAGGATGCGGCAGCGGCCAAACTCGTACAGCTTCTGCTCGAGCTCAATGTAGCCGCGGAACAGTCTGTCTTTGGGGCACATGCCGATGGCCCGGCCCAGCGTCTTGCGCGCCGTCCCCAGCTCGCCCTGGCGGACCTCGAAGTGTGCCTTGTGCAGCCAGACCTTGGCGAAGGTGAAGGCGCGGTGCGGGATGAGCTGCAGACACGTGTCGTATACCTGCCGCGCGCGCTCCGGGTTGCGCGCCTCCGTCTCTTCCCAGAGCGCGAAGAAGATCCAGAGGTAGATGTACCGGCGCCAGTGGCGCTTGGCCTGCGTCGGCGGCACCTGGGCCACGGCCTTCTCGTAGACTTCGCGGGTGCGGCCCGCGTCACCCGAGGCCTCCTCGAGACGGGCGTAGTCGAACCACACGTCGTAGTTTTTCGGGTTCTCCTTGACCAGCTCCTCGTAGTGGCGGCGGCGCTTGGACAGGACCACGTCCTCGACGCCCTCGCGGTCGCCAAACTGCTTCTCAAAGGTGGTGTACTCCTTGTGCAGCAGGGCGGACCTGGAGCGGGGCAGGTTGTCGAGGCCGAAGCGGTAGATGGCGCGGGCGCGGTCGAGGTCGCGCAGCTTGGCCTCGTAGCGGGCGTAGGCGATGAAGAGGCGCTCCTCGACAAACTCGTCGCCGTAGCGGGCCAGCTCGTCGATGGCGCGCTCGAAGACGGCGCGGACGCGGTCGCTGGTGCCGACCTCCTCCTCGAACTTGGCCCATCTGATCCAGTTGCGCGGCTCCGGGTGGACGCGGGTGAAACGCTCGAAGATGGCGCGGGCGCGGTCGTGCTCGCCGTAGCGCTTCTCGAGCTTGATGTAGGAGGACCAGGCGGCCTCGTCCGGGTTCCAGGCCATCCAGCGGTCAAAGACCTGGCGGGTGCCGGGCACGTTGCCCAGCATCTCCTCGACCCAGACATACTTGTACCACAGCTTGTCGATGCGCGGGAGGTGGGTGACGGCGCGGTCGAGCACGTTGCGGGCAAAGTTGATGTTGCGGCCCTTGAGCTCGGCCTCGACGTAGCGGATCCAGAGCGTGACGTTGTTGGCGTGGATGTTGAGGGCGCGCTCGAAGATGCTGCGTGCGCGGTCGTACTCCTTCTGCTCCAGCTCCCACGCCGAGTACTGCAGCCAGTTCTTGAGGCTGATGCGCGACCGCCGGCAGTAGTCCTCGAACTCGCGCCGCTTGCGGCCTTGGTACTCGTGCAGCTCCTCAAGGTCCTCGAACCGCTGCGTCGGCTTCTGTAGCGCCACCTCCTGCCGGTCCACCGCCTCGCGGAGCAGCTGTTCGGCCGAGATCTGCACCGGCGCAGCCGCCTTGTTCTTGACCTGGGGCGGGCCTCGTGAGGACTCCATGGTTGCTGCGGTTCCTTTTCGCGAGTGCTCTGGTTTCTGTGTTCCGGTTTTCGTGCTCCTAGTTCCTTTTCTTTCTCAACTTGTCGCGCGCCTAGCCGGCAGACAAGGTCAGTGTCGGCTACTGATGGATGCTTCGTGGGTGCAGCCGTGGGCTCCGCAAGGCGTATAAAGGCGCCACGTCTCGACACTTACCTACCGAGGCGGTAGGAAGTATCTGCGTGGGTAGTCGGCTGGAAGAAGGCTGCATTTCAAGACGCGCTCGCCCCATCGACAAACCGAGTGTGGGGCGACCTGATTTATTATGGGTCTTGCGCTATCCCGGCGGCGGCCAGGCTAGCCAGGTACCGCACCCCACACTTTGTCGGCGATGGAACCAGGCTGCTGTTCTGACCTCAACGCGACAAATCCATCAAACCAGCAAGGCAGCAAATCCACGCCTCGAACCGCCACCTTCAAACCGACCACCCATCTCACCAATACCGTCACCACCAGTATTCCGACGTAGCGAACCCGAAGAACAGATCCCACAGCAGACGACCAGCTCTGTGCGCGGGCGGCTCTGCACTAGCGCCACGCGCCCGGCGCCATGTCAACTCTAGTTGATGAGCTGCTGCAGGACTTCGAGGACTCGGCTTCCGAAAACGGCGGCGATCGCTCCGAGCGCGGCGACGATGACGGCTTGGGCGACGAGGAGGGCGCCGCCCTGATGGGCGGCGGAGACGGCATGATGGAAATCGACGCCAACGACATGGCTAGCTCTGACGAGGACGAGGAGATGGGCGGCGTCGAGCGCACCGACGACCCGGAGGAGATGAAGGCCAAGGTCGACAAGATGCAGCTGCGGGGCGTCGACGACATCCGCACCGTTGCGACGCTCATGAAGACACTAGAGCCTGTTCTCGAGGTGAGTCCCTCCGCTTGCAGCCCCCGTTTGCGCTGGCTACCATGCGACAGAAAGTGTTTACATCCTTGTGCGGAACGGTAGCCCTGACAGCTTGCCTCGAACCCCCGCAGAAAATCACCTTCTACCAGTCGCAACCGGCCGAGTCGCAGACGGCCAACCTGGGCAACGTCGAGGACCACCCCGAGTACCACCTCCTGACCCAGTCCAACAGCCTCTCGACCCAGATCGACAGCGAGATTGTGCTAGTGCACAAGTACATCAAGGATCACTACTCGGTGCGCTTCCCGGAGCTCGAGACCCTGATCACTAGCCCCCTCGAGTACGCCAAGGTAGTCGCCGTCCTCGGCAACGGTCCGCTGGATGCCGACGGCATCAAGGCCCTCCAGCTGGCGACCGACAACCCCCTGGGTGTGTCGCTCAAGTCGGTGCTCGACGGGCCATCCCTCATGATTGTCACCATCGGCGCGACCACGTCCAAGGGCCGCGAGATGACGCCCGAGGCCCTCGCCAAGGTCGTCCGCGCCTGCCACATGGTCATCAGCCTCGACAAGGCCAAGCGCGCCCTGACCGAGTACGTCCAGTCGCGCATGAACATATTCGCCCCAAACCTGACGGCCCTCATCGGCTCCCTGACGGCCGCGCAGCTGCTCAACACAGCGGGCGGGCTGACAGGCCTGGCCAAGACGCCCGCCTGCAACATCGCGGCGTGGGGCTCCAAGAAGGGCGCGGGCGCCAGCGGGTTCGCGACCAACGTGGGAGTGCGCCAGCGGGGCTATCTCTACAACTCGCCCATCATCAAGAGCGTGCCACAGGACCTCAAGAAGCAGGGCCTGCGCATCGTCTCGGCCAAGCTCATCCTGGCCGCGCGCATCGACTGCAGCCACGAGGCCCCCGACGGGTCGCAGGGCGACCAGCTCCGCGAGGCGTGCGAGACGCGCATCGAGAAGCTGCAGGAGAAGCCGCTCAACAAGGGCGCGCGCGCGCTGCCGGCGCCCGACGACAAACCCTCGCGCAAGCGCGGCGGACGCCGCGCCCGCATGGCCAAGGCCGCCACGGCCATGACGGACCTGCGCAAGGCCCAGAACCGCATGGCCTTTGGCAAGGAGGAGAAGGAGGTCGGCTACGGCACGGGCGACTCCACGGCCGGCCTGGGCATGATCGGCCAGGCCGCCGAGGGCCGCGTGCGCGGCATGCAGGTCGACAACCGCACCCGCGCCAAGCTGACCGCCAAGAACAAGGGCTGGGGCGGTATCGCCTCCTCGGCCGCCGGGCCCACCACGGGCGCCGCCTCGTCGCTCAAGGGCTTTGGCCAGTCGGGCGGGCTCGACCTGCGCGGCAGGGGGCTACGCGCCTCGGGCGTCGGCACCACCCTCGGCTCCGGCGGCACCATGTCCTCACTCGCCTTCACCCCGCTGCAGGGGCTCGAGCTCGTCGACCCCAAGATGCAGGCCGAGCTGGGCCGCAAGCGCAAGGCCGAGGAGGACCGCTGGTTCAAGGGCGGCACCTTTACCCAGATTTCCGGCGGCGGCGGCGGCGGCCCGGCCGACGACGGCGTCTTCAAGAAGCCCGCCCTACCCGCCGCCAAGAGGTTAGACACGGGCGCCACCAAGTCGGGTAGGTGAAACCAACAAAAGTCTCGCCATCATACCATGGAGCGAGGCGCAATTTTTTTTTGTTACGTTGCTGCAATATCTGTAACCCGTAAAACATTCCCATATCGAGTTCACCGGCGTCAAGGTGCGGGCGTATTCTTCTTCATCAGATTGGCCTGATTTGGCCACATCGAGTGGCCTCCTTTTCATGCTTGCTTCTCTCTTATCCTGTTGTCGGTATTTCCTGCATGTCCACGGTAGACTTTCAGAGTGAGCTTTGGCGCGAATTCATGCAACCACAAAATCAAGAATAATGCCACAAATCGGCATCAGCCATGATGTATTACTGAAATAGCACGTCAGATCAGCATAGAAATCTTGTCCCTTCTTGACCCCTGCTCGTATCAAATCACTGGCTCACGGACCCAGGTGAACGCCTATTACGCCGCCTTCTTCTGACGTCGTCAATCTTGTCCCGGACCGTGATGACCTGGCCCTCTTGCTGGGCCTTGGCTCGGCCCTCGCCAAGATCCTCCAGGGTCATGGGCTCGAGGCGTCGGCCACCCACGACCCGCTGCACCTCGGGGAGGTATGCCCAGCTGTACAGCGCGCCCAAGACCATGAAGGGAGCGAAGAGGAGGAAGATCAGCCCCTGTCGCGTCTTGGACTTGTAGTTATGGTTGATTATGTAGACGACCCCCACCGCAACGATGGATCCAAGCTTGCCCGCCGCGGCGGCGATTCCGTGACAGGTGCACCGATATGTCGTCGGGAATATCTCGGCAGGTATGATAAATGTCAGGGTGTTTGCACCTGCGCGTATAGCATTAGAACGTGGCAGGCCGTGGGAGAGTGACAAAAAAGGGAAGCGGAAGGCAGGATCTCAGTCGCACCAAAGTTGAAGGCAAAATGACACAGAGCAACCATGACAACGTTGGCAGGAGCTGCCGGTGTGTGGCTGACGGCATAGTAGACGCCGCCGGTGATGAGAAAAAGAACGGCAAGGGTGAAGAACGACGCTGTAAGCCAGCGGCGGCGATGGAAACGGTTGGCGAAGAAGATGAAGCAGGCTGAACCTGCGATGGAGGGGATAGAGACGGTGACGAGGTACTGCGTGGCCTGCTCGATGAGAACTTCGTCGATACTTTTACAGGGACTCATCAGATTAGTCTGCCAGACTGGGAAGCCGCCGTTGCGCTTCCAGTCCGGGACGAGAGATCTGCCGCCATCGCCCGAGAACGACGAGTTCCAGCAGGGGAGCGACGGGTTGAGGTCTGCCTCCTCCGCGGTCGCCCAGAGGTCCGACAGAGTCTTGCGGTTATCGAGCGAGAATCCGTAGAAGCTCACGTCGAGAAAAAACCATGTCATCGAGGTCCCTAATGCTCCGGGGAATGGTTGATGTCAGCAAAGACTCTATTCATCGTGGTTGGGTATGGCGTGGCTCAGTGGCTGTTATTTGGAGTCTGTGCGTTGGCATCATGGCTGCGCTGGTGCACCTCAACCTCCAGAGCAAAATCACACGAACCAAGCAAATAAAACCAATTCCCGTCCCGGATGAAGAAGTTTCGTAGGTCTTCAAGCGAGAACTGGACAGGCATGGGTTGCTCGATCTGGCCCAATGTTGCACGGCGGTGCGCCCCGGCCATGGGCGGCGGCCCCTGCTGGGCAATCCCGTTCATGGGCAGGCCGTTCGGAGGGTATGCGCCGGGCCACTGACTGGGAGGTTCGCCGTATATCCTTTGTGTATCCCTGAATGCAGCGCCGGGCTTGTTTTTGACCTCGAGCGTGTATAGGCCGCAGTCGTATAAGAAGAATCGGAAGATGATGGCCAACAACGCTGGCAAAGCCCCAATGCCGATGACGATGCGCCAAACGCCATCGATTCTAGTCTGACACTCATTGTTCCCTGTATGACAAGATCTCGTTATTAATCGATAAATCTGTGCCGCACGCACTAACCAGCGCGTGGTTGTACTCACACTTGGCGTCTAGCCCGCATCTTTTGCCATTGATATCGTGATTTGAACTCTGCCCCAGGAGGACCACAAGGCCTACCAGCTGAGCGAGCGCCTGGCCGACAGGCTGCATCAGGAATACGGCCGACAGCATGGTGGCTCGGGATTGGGTGCTGGACCACTCCGAAGTGATGCAGGCCGATAATGGGTATTCGGCACCTATGCCTGAAGGAGTCGAGGTTGGCATGTCAGTGTACCACTCCGGCGGCCCATATACGCTGCTGGTTAGCGGGAATGTAGCTACCTATGCCCATAACAAATCTCCACCAGGTGAAGAGACCGAAAAAGTCCAGGTCGCCATGGCCGAAACTGCTGGTGGCGACACCAATGGTGGAAACAATGACGAGGACGAGCTCGATCCCGTATAGGCGAGTTCGGCCATAGTAATCTGCTAGAAACCCGAACAGGAGCTGGCCGATAACGGAGCCGAGGAGGGTGCACAGGTTGATGATAAGACCTTTGTCACGGCCGTCGGGAAAGTAAACGAATTGTATAGACGCGAGAATAACATTAGTGGCAAAAAGGTTGTAGCTGTGTTGGGGGCCGGCTTTTGTGAGCAAAATGCCTATATGCATAGACCACAGGTCTCGCGTGGAGATAGCCCTTACCTGTCAGTCAGGAAGCCCGAGGCGGTGATGACCCATATCCTAAAGTTGAACGAGTTGAGGTCAAGCTGGTAGCGCAGTTCACGCCGGTCCTGTCGAGCGGGCGTGCTTAGTTACATCCTGCCTGATCGGCGCAAGACTGGGGGTCTTACCTGACGATCCTGCGGGCTCAGGGCGGAGCTATCAGCGCCGAGGTACCCTCGATTCTTCCTTCGAGGCTCGGGCTGCATGACTGTAGCGATTTCGCCAGCTCCCGGTTCTGTGTGCTATCTTGGCGATGAGGGCCAGCTCATGACGCCGTGGGTTTTGCGTCGCTCGGCTGACTGTTGCAGGCAACACGCCCGGACGGTGCTTCGAGCAAACGCGGAATCGCGGCAACGCTAGCCAGATGGGTACCTTGGTAGATAGGCAGGCACCTAAGTAGGTAGGTACCAGATAAAAGTACCTTCCGACCTTGTCCCAGTCCGAGTGCGATCAGATGGGCCAAAAAGCAGGAGACGCGAGATGTTCAAGACAGTAATATATCTTCAAGGCATCCAGCGGGGAGCTAGTAGGAGAAGGGAGAAAAGGGAGGGAAAGTTGACGGGCTTCTTTTTGGCATGGAGTCGGAACCCAAGGGGATCGATATGGGTGCACGAATTTGCGGCTGGCTCTTCCAATAATCCTGCCGGGCTAACAGAGCCAAGCACACCACACGCGCAACCCCCAACGGCCAGCTCAATCTTGTCGCGCCGCACACCCAGGCTGCTCGGGTGTGCGCCTGGAAGCCAAGCTAATAGCTCGCCCCGAGCCCACAGAACCCTGTCCCGGGCAATCGTGGGATGGCGAGCCGCGAGCCAGGTGTCAGGCGCATTGTTGGCAGAGACCGATCCAGACGCTCTAATTCTGGTGCCGCTTCTAGGTTAGCCAAGGAGGGCGCATGTAGGGATGCGGTAGGCGACGCGATGCTTGTACCTGTGACCGACACGCAGTGATTCGAGTCGCGGCAGGGTATGTGTATGGCTAGAGGTACCTGGCTGGAGGCGCCTGCCTGTAGCTGGGTAGTCTGGGATTGGTCTCTCGAAGCGACAAGCAAGTCCGTTCATGTATGGTCCCCTTGGGGCGTTGCCACGAGGCAGATGGCAGGCATACACAGCAGAGGCGGTTGGAGCAACAAGAGGCCGGTAAAAGGTAAAAGGTGCCACAATCGGGCGAGGAAATAAGGACCCCTCCACGAGGCTCCAGGGCCAAGCAGCCAAGCGGATGCTTGTGCAGGGGCCCCTCCCGATGAGGCTAGGAAGGCACTTCCGACGATCAAATCCCGTTGCGCGCCTGGAACATGTGCTCTGGCTGGCTGCTGCGACTGGGGCGCTGTAGCCAGCGACTGTGCCCCACACACCCACCAACACTACGGGAACCTAACCACACCACCCCCCACTGGAGCTGCCTCCAAAGGAACCAGCCGAGCTACACGGCGCTTTCGGTTCTTCTCTATGGATTCGATGCTATGAGTATTACTACCTTTGGGAGCGACAAGACATCCATCCGGCGCTGACGAAACCCGCACAAACAATAAGGGCAAAGACTTCAGAAAAACATGGAAAAACTGGTAGCTCGGGCCGAGGAGGATCTCTGAAGCTCGGGTGAAGACGCCCACACCCATCAATCAGCCAGTGTATACTTGGTACGCACCCAGGGCCATCTGCGCGTTGGGATGGGACATGGCATGGATCTAAAGACTGTGTGTTTCAATCCTTCCGCGGGCGGGCTCGAGACCGGAGTTGCCCTCCCCGCCGCCAGCCCACCCAACCCAAGCCGACAAGGGGCCGAGATGCTCGTATGCCTTTTGGCTCCCGCCCCTCATCCCCAGAACTTTGTGCTTTTTGAAGTCGGCTACGCGCCCGACTGCACCACCCTGCTAGCATCTCCCTACCTCTTGTCACTGCTGCCCTCCATCTAATTCGATCCTTGCCCGACTGGTCACAACGTACACCTACCCATCCAACCCCCTGGTTCCGTCATCTCGGGTGGCCTGGTCATCTGGTCCCTGGACACTCCTCTGCGACCCTGCGCGCCCCGATTTCCCCGTGGAGGTGGGACCCAAAAGACGGGCGGGAAGGCCCTGACGTCGTGACATCCTTTCGAGTCGACTGTGCGCAGAACTGAGACCTTGGGGCCCATATACCGGGGTCTCGGACCCTTTGCTCCCCGGCCCCAGCCCGTCGCTGGGGGCTGTATATAGCTTCCTCGCCTTGGATGGTCGCCGAGTGCGCTGCCGGGGGAACACCACCAGGAGCAACATCGGAGTGTGCCAACAGCCAAGTTTCGGGCCAATCCAAGGCCATCTCGGCGTTGCTTGTTCATCGTCGCTCTCGTCCTTGGCCGTCCCTCCTCGGCATCCATCCACGCCCGCCCTTGTTGCGACGCCGCCCTCTCGACCCCGCCTCAGTCTAGCTCCGCAACCCCGTCCGCCAGGTCGGCACAGACCCGCGCGCACTGGCTGTTGGGTTTGCCCTAGATGGACAAAAGCCGAGTGGAGCTGCCCATACACTCCTGTCGCAGCGCCGCGAGAGACGCTGGCGCCTAGCCTCTGTCCTTGGCAAGAGTTTGCTTCCTACCCCCGTCGGCGCCGGCGCCCGGGCGCGCCCAGGGCCGGCCTGCTTCTAGCATGGCTTCAGGCTCCTCGGGATCCTCCTACTCGTCCTCAGTTCGCTATCCACCTTCGTATGTCCAGGCCCAGACTAGCCCGCTGGACTCGACCTGGACTACCCCAACGACCAGATCAACTGCCTCGGCCAACACCGCGCATTCCTCCCAGCCGCCCACGCCTCTCCGGCCATTAGACCTTGGCCCTCCCGGATATCAAGCAACCATGTAACACGCAACCGCTTTCGTCCGCCTCGCACTTTACCGTCTTCTCTCAGTCTACCCCTTTCATCTGGCCCTCCGCACCTCACCCCCTCCCTCAAAAACATGGAAATCATGCCTAACGATTCTGGTCTGACAGCACCCTGTTCGAATGTACCGCCGACGAAATAACAGTTTACCTAGGCCCGTGGGATCTCGAGCCAGCCGGCGCCGACCACCGCCGCCTATCATGGCAATGCAGCTACCAAGGGGAGGTCCTGGAGCACTATCGTACGCTTGCTCTTGTCTGAAAGGGGAAGTTGCGTGATTGTTTGACTAGCTAACATCTAAATCATGTTTCGTGGCAGTGCCGGGAGACTCCCCCGCAGACACGATACCGCTCACGCACCACGCTCACCATCGCCGATTCGAAGATCCTGCTGACATGGAGCTTTATGTCAGCTTCAACGGGCCGCAGCGGATACGATACGTAGCTGCAGACGGCACCCCCATCCACGATGCCTACATTGAGGTCAGATACGACTTCGCCACGTTTGAAAACTCGATCCGGTTCCAGAGCGATCTGCGGCACAGGGAACTCGTCGACTTTTTCGATATAGATGTCGTTTGGTCCGACAAGGACGAGCGAAAGGACCGTTTCGGGGCCGTCAGAGGTATCGCGACGGGCCAGCGAGTGAAGGTGTGGAAGGACATGCATTCGTTGCAGCACTGCTTGACTTTCCTGGCCAGTGACCATCGATTCCGCGAGTACTACATGAGTGCTTTCGAGCGCGAGATACGAAGCCGAGACCGCGCGCGCAAGTGGCTCCGGCTTGACGTCCGAGGGAGACGCGGGAGCGGCCACGATACGGCTCCGTCCTCACGGCGCAGGTCCTTCGGGCTGTTTAGCCGTGGACGCTCGGTGGACGACACGGCTGGTGGCCAGGCCTCGAGCTCCCATCAACCCGATCACGGCTCCTCCTCACCCAGCCTCACCATTCGTCACCTCGGCGTACAGTTCTCTCGGTCAGAAGGTAAGCCCAAGCGCATTGAAACAAGAAAATACAACTCTTTTGCTACTCAAGAATGCGCCCGAGCTAATACATAGCCCATGCTTCCTCGTCATGTCTCTCCCACTATTCTTTAGATTACGAAAGGTTTATACAACGATGGGATCAGTCCTGCGCAGAGGACAGCACGTTCAACGGGATTCTGTACCCGTCGAACCGTTTCGAGCTCGCCTCGGCTGAACCCCATGCGGAAAACGCGGTGGAGCTTCCAGCAGGCCCATATTCGACGCTCGAGACCGTTTCTGAGCCACAAGATGGCGAGGCGCCGTGACAGCCGTAAAAGGAGCCACGGGTGCTGTGGTTGAGAGGTAGGCCCTACCAACTATATAGGGTTGAGAAGTGGGAATGATATACAGGAGGGAGATGGTGCGCAACGCTTGTTCCCCATCCAGAAAGGACAGCAGGGCATTTGAAGTTGGAAGGTATGATTGTCCAAGGCACCACGTGGTGGCATGTCCCGTCCTGTTTAGTACCTATATTTAATAGGTGATAGATATCGTGTTGGATGGCTTTGAGAACAGGACATTGTCTTTTGGATGCCGTCTAACTGAAACCTCACTGAGTCAATATCTTGCTCCAAGATGGCCCTGACGAGCCCGTGTCGCTCCACATGACCCAAGTCGCACTTGGCCAGGACCCCTGCCTGTCACCACCTGCGGGACCCCCCATTTCGGTCTGAACCGGGACTTGGGGGTGTGGACCAAGAGGGGCCACACGTTATCGTTACGTCATTTGACGTGTCCTCACTCGGGAGAGGAACATCAGGCCACGCTTGGGGAAGCCATCAACAACGAAGGCTGCGCCCGACGCGCGCGTGCGTCTTCGGCTGAGAGCACACAGGCGGCTGCTCTCCATAATCACACGGGAAACATCTGATTCATTGCGAAAGACGAAAGGGAGACAGAAGACTGAAAAGGCGCTCGCCCGGCCTGACCGACTCGACCAAGCAGCGGCGGGAATAAATACCAGCTGAAATACCAGCTGGTTAGGGGCGCTAGAAGTGAATACGAAAGCGGCATTCGAACCGACGGCTACGACCAAACAACATATACCAGATACCACACACATACATACATACGATACATACGCACGCACAAGCACACATCTGGGCCCGAAATGAAGATAATACTCGCCGTCAATGCGGGGTCATCCTCGGTCAAGGTTTCGGTGTACGAGATCGCGGATGGCCACGCGGAGCCGATGCGAGTGGCCGAGGCGCAGATCAACGGGCTGACGGCGCCGCCGCCCAAGATCAGCTACAAGAGGAGAGGCGACGACGGGGGAGACGTGACGGTGCGCAAGGACGACAGCCTCGGCGACGGCAAGATGGGCTCGCAGGCGGCCGCGTTCGAGCGGATCCTGCGCGAGCTGTTCGAGGACGAGGGGCTGCCGCAGCTGGCCGGCAAGGGCGACATCGCCGTGGTGGCGCACCGCATCGTGCACGGTGGCGACGCCGAGCGGCCCGAACACATCACCATGGAGACGTTGCACAAGCTCGAGAAGCTCTCGGATCTGGCGCCGCTGCACAACGGGCCGTCGCTCGCCATCGTGCGCGCCTGCATGTCGTCGTCGTCGCCGGGTGACACCAGCGGCGGCGGCGACGAACCCCCCTCGTCGCCGCTCGCGCCGGGCGTCGTCAACGTGGCGTGCTTCGACACCGTCTTCCACGCCTCGATCCCGCGCCACATACGCACCTACCCCATCGACCAGGCCGTGGCGCGCGCCAACGGGCTGCGCAAGTACGGCTTCCACGGCCTGAGCTACGCCTACGTCACCCGTGCCGTCTCGGCCTTTCTGGGCCGGGAACCCTCCGGGGTGGGGCTGATCGCGCTGCACCTCGGGTCGGGGGCCAGCGCGTGCGCCATCCGCGGCGGCAGGAGCCACGACACCAGCATGGGCCTAACCCCGCTGGCGGGCCTGCCCGGCGCCACGCGCAGCGGCAGCGTCGACCCCAGCCTCGTGTTCCACTACGCCAGCGACGTCGGCCGGCTGTCGCCAAACTCGACGAAGGAGCTGCACATCTCGCGCGCCGAGGAGATCCTCAACAAGGAGGCCGGCTGGAAGGCCCTGACGGGCACGACCGACTTTGGCGCCATTGCGGCCGCCAAGGAGAACCAGGGTGGTGCTGGCGATGGCGGTGACGACGACGGCGACGGCGACGACGACGAAAAAGTGGACGCGCGCCGGCTGGCCTTCGACCTCATGGTGGACCGCATCTGCGGCTTCGTCGGGTCGTACTACGTCTCGCTGGGCGGGCGGGTCGACGCGCTCGTGTTCGCGGGCGGCATCGGCGAGCGGAGCGCGCCGCTGCGCCGCGCCGTCGTCGACCAGTGCCGCTGCCTCGGCTTCGAGCTGGACGAGGCCAGGAACGCGGCCCCGGCCCTCGACGGCGCCGGCGGCGCGTCGTCGTCGGTGGCCGACGTTGGAAAGGACGGCGCCAGGCACCGGGTCCTGGTCTGCCAGACGGACGAGCAGTTCGAGATGGCCAGGTGGTGCGCCGAGGATGACACTCTGTGGGTGTAGCAGTAGGTAGGGGGGGTCTTTTTCTTTATCTCTTTTTTTTTTTTTTTTGCTCCTTGTCGCTATACCACCCAAGACTAGACGAAGATGAATGTTTTGAAAGTAGCATGAGTTTTATGCCGAATAACAGTATAGGGAGCTCTCCAGCCTACCAAGAACGGCATGCATGTCGTGAGCGCCGTTGGCTCCCTTTCACACCCTTTTCCCCCTTTATCACCGTTTTTGGTTTGGACCCCTTCCTCTCCCGCCTTGGTTTTTTTTTTTTTTTCCTCCCAAAAGCGCATCGGCGATTTGCGTCCGCATGCGGGGAACTCGTGGAACCCAATTCCACTCCCCTTCCCACCTCCATCCCTGCAGCGAGCTGCATGACGGGACGCACGTCTTGCGAGTCATGAGCCCTTCCTTGCCCTATCCCCTCTCTCGACTTGGCAGTCGCAACTCGAAGGGAAGGAGGGGCCGGGGCTGGCCAATATGGACTCCAAACGGGCGATCCTTGGATAAATAATAAATTAATAAATAGATTTGCAGGGGAGGGGAGGGGGGAAAA